TTCTAAGCCTTGATCCGCTAAATGATGACAATAAATGGGAAAATCGGCATATTTTGAATGCGAAACTCTTAATTTTGTCTGAATTCTTCGGTAATTTTTTTGATATCGCGCTTTTCATTAAAATATGGTAGCCTATTAATGAAAAAAAAGTTGATTTTGTATTTTCGCCTTCGTAAAAAAGGTTTTAGATGAAATAGCCATGGAGCGGATAAGGCAACAATATCTAAAAATTGTGCGATAATCTCCGAAATGAGGATAGAATTTTTTCTCGGATCACTAAGCTTGATTTTTAAGGATTAGGCAAATTAGTGTTGAAAACATGCACAATTGAAATTGCAAAGTAGTGGTGAATATTTTGCAATTTCAATTGTGCATGTTTTTGAATATTCACCACTGAAATTGCAAAATGGCTCTGGTGGTGAATATTCACCACTGAAATTACAATATAGTGGTGCCCCCATATTCTGTTTTGTTTTTTTGTAAGTACATGTTCTCTCAGGATTGAGAGGCTTGAGAGCTCCCAACATTCTCCAGGATCCATCGCAAATCGGCAAACACAAAGGCGACGACGACACACACAAAGAAAGTGTAACGTTCACAAGCACACTTCTGACTAATCTTGAGTTTTCTCCCCGCAGAATAAAACAAAAAGCAAAAACCGTGCTCAAGCACCAATTCATTTTTTTAGGAAAAGAAAATTTTGACGAAAAAAAGAGGATGATCAGGGAAGCACTACATCAAATCCGGGAATAGTGTGTCACTGTTTTCGGAGATTGTGTTGTTTGTTCGGCATTCCGACCACGGTCATTATTTTCGTCGCACAAGTTGGGCATTTTTTCACGTTTCTTCCCCTCATTTTGACGACGGGCACCCTCTCAGCACACGTCGAACAGAGAATATGTCCACATGGAACCGCGATTCTCGTACGATCTGTAGAAATTGAAAAAATTGCGTTTTTTAGAAATTTTTAGTTGCTACGTCATACCGCTCGTCTGAAGGCAGATCGTACACATCAGACTTTCAATCATCTGTGCACAGACAAGGGCTGCGACTTTGTTTTCCTCTTTGGAGAGTCGAGAATTGATTGCCGTCAATTATTACCTAATTACTT